GGGAGGGCGACACTGCTGGAGGAGAGAGCAGCAGTAGGCCGGGCGTGGAAGGCGCCCTGGTGCGGGATGTGGAGGTCCCTGCTGCAGGTGGGTTTGGTGCATTCCAAGACACCAACTCTCTTCGTAGTACGTTCGGCAGTGCTTGCGTACAGCAGTCTGCTGCCGCTGGAGACACTGGTGAGAGTGTCACAGCAACCGATCAATCCATTCAGGGGAGGTCGGGCGGAGAATGCGGCACGGCGGAAGGGTCGTGCCCACTGTTCTGCCTTGCTGTAGTAGCGGGCGGGGCGCACAGAAGTCGCCGGAATTCATGGTGCAACAGAACGGACGGAGGGGCCGTGAAGTCGCGCAGTTTTGGCGCGCACTCCATCTGCGGTAAGGCGGTGGATCAACACGAAAGGCGTTAGAGTAATCGGCGCAACAGAACGGACGGAGGGGCCGTGAAGTCGCGCAATGTTGGCGCGCATTCCATCTGCGGTAAGGCGGTGGAGCATCAGGACGGTAGAGAGACCGTTGGGCAGGATTGCCGGAGACACTCAACCATGGATCGACCGCGCGACGGCGCGGGGGGGGGTGGGCGCCGTACATGCTTGATGCTGGCGGTGTTTTGTTAAGTCGATCCAAGGCCGGCAGTAGAGGCCGGGTACGCCCTACCACGGTTGACACGCGCGACGGCGCGTCGGGGGGTGGGCGCCGATCACGCGGGAGCGGGCGGCGTTTTTTGACCACAGCACGGACGGAGGGGCCGTGGCTGCTTTGCCTCGTCGTCGGAACGGGGGGGGCAGCATTATAAGGCGCGCGGAGGTGGCGCGCAAACCCAGCATGGACGGAGGAGCCGTGGCTGTTCTGCCTCGTCATAGGAGCGAGGGGAGTAGCATATTAAGTCGCGCGGAGGTGGCGCGCAACCATCAGCCGGAGGTGGGTGGTGGAACGGGGCACAGCTAAGTGGGTGTCATCAAAGTCGCGTGGGGAGGTGCCGCGCGCATTTCATCAGTCGGGAACGAGCGGTGGAGACAAGAATGCGTCAGGATGGACGTGAGGAATTAAAGGCGTGCTTCGCCATCAAGATGTGTTGGTGGAGTAGTTGGAATAAGCTTGGATTTTGTTGTCTTGTTTTGTGTGGAGGTACTAGTTTGAGGTCGTGATGAAATCAAGCAACTTGTATTCGAGGAAATTCTGTTCACTGTTGCGTGTTTCTTTCCGCCGTCATTTGCGCGTTGTCTTGCACCCAAATCGTGGTTGTTCTGAATGTTTGTGTTCGTCGTTATGCCATTAGTGCATCCTTCGCCGGTGACGTTGTGTTGCTGGTGATGATGGCAAAGTGTCGGGGGGTAGAGACGTTCACGTTGGTAGAATTTGCCACCATCACTCATGTGTGGGGGCTACGCGGTTATATGTGACCCACGGCCTAAGTAGGAGGCGCAACAAGTGTATTGTTTACCTGAAATGTTGAAGAACAAGGGAGGGTGGAAACGGGCGTGTTTCTTTTGAGAATGTTACGCTTGAAGAGTACGCCCGGTCTTGGTATTATGCAACTTGACAGGTTGGTGTGTCGGGCAGGTATGCATTTGTTGGTGGAAGTCGATTTTGTTTTCACGTACGGAAGCATGTTGGTTGTGTCTGTTTTGGGAAGCGACATCTAGGTGATGGCCATGTGCGTGTTCCTCTGGGCGCCGGTGTTGCGCAAGGGAGGGCA